AACCCTAAACCCTAAACCCCAACCCCCAAACCAAAGACCCTAAACCCTAAACCCCAACCCCCAAACCAAAGACCCTAAACCCTAAACCCTAAACCCTAAACCCTAAACCCCAACCCCCGAACTAGAGACTCTTAAGCCTAAGCTGGGCTCCCAGGCGACGCGAGACTGAAGATGCAGCCGACGTGTTGTGTACCCATAGGCCCCATGGTAGTTCCTTTTTGTGGCTTATATTTGGTTTAGGGTTTAGGGTTTAGGGTTTAGGGTTTAGGGTTTAGGGTTTAGGGTTTAGGGAAAAGAACTACTATGGGGCATATGGGTAGTTTCTAATCCCGAGACTCCCCGGGATGACGTGGAATCCTGGATCGAAGGAGCTGGGTCGGAACGACGACTCCCCCATTAAGAGGATAGTACCCTACACCCTAAACCACACAAAGTGCTTGTGGGGTAACTCGATCCTGCCTTGGCATGTATAATATCGCTTGGACCAGTTAGCCTCCTAAGCCGCAATACACCGCATCCTCTCGACTCAACTCCACCGCAATTCCTCCACCTGCGACACTCCCCTTATGGCTCGTATCCCATGGACCCGAAGCCCTTGTGCGAGCTGAGTTCTCGACTCCTTCGGTGACTCCGCAGATGCTTGGTTCTCTCACCTTCAGTGATGCCAATGAATGCCTACACGCCTGCCGACCAAAGCCTCATGACTGTGGCTGTTCTATCGCCATTCCGTTTTCGATTGCAGCCGTTCACTTACGCAGGGGGAGCATGATGCTACAATGGTTCTTGCAACAGACTCGATCCAGCGTTTAATGTCGGAAGCCATTGTCTCAATTCCAAAAAGCCCCAAACCGGACCCGATCCCAAGCCCCCGAATGACAACGGAAGAGACCCTGGCAAGAGAAGGAAATCGGGGTTGAATCAAAGTCGATGCCGGTTATGTTTAGGGTTTAAGACGGGTCTAGGTTTTTTTAATAAGTATGGGGGTTAGGGTTCAGGGTTTGTAAAGGGGTTATAGAGTTTAGGCTTCAGCTCTCTGCCCCTTAAACTGGTCTTCCAGCTTCTGTTCTTGCGTGTTCACGTCATACGCGGTTCGCTGTCAGCTATTCACCCATTGCTGGGGGCAGGTTCTTTGTGTCGAAGGTTCTGTGCCTTTGCGGCTCATGGCTTGTAGGCCTCAGTTCCAACTTCCATGGCGACCTCCGGGTGGCACAGAAGTGAAAGCCACGACTGATTTTCAGAATGTTGGAGAGCTTCTCCCGAATGAGCTCCTCAAGAAGTCTTGACTCACTGATTTGAGAACACAACCCTGCAGCAGCAAGCCCCAAATCGTTTCCAGCGCCGAAAGACAAAATTGGGTCCTGATTCTGGCTTGCAGGAGGGCAGAGCCAGTAAATCTGAGGCGAAAGCCCCAACCCCCCAACCCCAACCCAGAGTGGCCAACAGCATTCAAGAACGGCAAAAACCCGACATGTTAGGTACACATGTACTTGCCTCAGGCTCTCAATAAACCTAGCACTTGCCTTTCAAGCTCTAAGCCCCTACACCTTTCAACCCTCAAAACCCCCAAACCTTCAACCCTACACCCCAAACTCTAAACCCTAAACTCAAAACCCTAAACCCTAAATCCCAAACTCGGTGTTCAGAGCTGCGGAACTTGTTGCCATGGCCGATTACGAAGGCACCGCCAAGGTTGCGGAAGCAGCGGCTTGTCGGTTGGTTTAGGCTTTATAGTGTTTAGGGGTTTAGGGTTTAGGACTTTGGGTTTAGGTGGGCTGGGGGTTTAAACCCTAAACCCTAAACCCTAAACATTTAGTGTTTAGGGGTAGGGGTTTAGCGAGGCTGCAGTCCCAACGAGCCCTGCGTACCCACATGGGTTATAGTTATACTTGCCCAGACCATAGTGGTACTGTTGATGGACAAAATCCTGCATGACCTTATATACCTAAACTATGGGATTTATGGTACTATACTATATTTGGGTCATGCAGACTTTTGTCCATCAGCCGTAGTTCCTAGCATAGCCACCCTACATTCTACTTTTTACGTACTTAATTAGGACCTTTAAAAAGTGTTCAGGTTGTATCCCTAAGGGTCGGTCCATGTGCCCAAACAGTATATACTTTGGGCCCAAAGTACCTTTACAGGCCTAAACCCTAAACCCTGAACCCTTGGGACTACTTTACGGCGAAAATATATGCTGTTTGGGTTACTGGACCCTTAGGGTGAATGAATACCTGTAAGGTTATCAGTTAGTCTTCCCCGACACTTATAGTAGAAAACCCAAGACCCTCGTCTACTTACTAAGGCTGCTACACAAATCCAAGAGGTCCTAGGGACCGTTATAGGGGATACTCTCCCAAATCATACTAACTATTCCTAATACAGGAACCCTACATTCTACTATATAAGTACATTGGACCCTTTGGGAAAGGTTCATGGCTTTAGGTTTGATGCTCCTCAGGTTCATACTAACGGACAGGTGTGGTTTCCCGCATCGCACAGGCCGCAAGGCATGCGTTGTGTGGAGTCGCTATAACCGTGGCCGAGATCACAGTGGTCGAAGAGCGTTCCAAAAGCATTGAGTTAAGACACCGAGCAACCTAAACCAGACATCTCTTAGATCCTAAGAAGTAAGCTCCTCAAAGCCTAAACCGCTGCATGCTCTTTCATGGGCCGATGTTCCCAAATCCAAACACCGACCCTAAACCCTAATCAGGCCCCTACACGCGGTTTAGGGTTTAGGGTTGGCTACATCCTAAAACCCGCTGCTTGTCCCAAGAGCCTGACAGATCCAAAAGGGGAGCTGAACGTTAATATAGGGGCCTTAATGCTTACCAAAACTATTTTGGGGGTTCCTTATTGCACTTGTAGTATGATGGGCCCCCAAAACCCAATTCCAATCATGAAGGCCCCTACATCATGGCCGTAAGCATTTCCATTAGGGTGGTAATTGTAGGATTTAAGGGCTTCGGGTTTTAAGTAGTCTAGTAGTAGTAGTAGTAGTAGTAGTAGTAGTAGTAGTAGTAGTAGTAGTATATATATATATATATATATTTATATATATATGTATATATATGAGATGATATAGACGTGTTATTGCGCACTTGCTACGAAGTCCCTTGATCCGATCCTTGCCCTAAGAACTCTGATCTTAATACCCCAGCAACTCGTAAGTTAAAGCTCACTCACTCTGGAACCCCCCCTTCTTACACCCCTCACAGAACTTGTTGTTTCAGTTCTTTGTGTCCGAAATCTCTGTGCTAAGTCACCGAGAGATCCTTTGAAGAGGTTGTACATGCACAGAAGCCCAAAGTACAGATCAGACCAAAACGCGGTGAATTTCCTACTAACGAGAAAGCTCCCTGCTAACCCCAGGGTGGACCAACTTAAGTGCAAGAGGTTTAGGGTTTAGGGTTGAGGGTTTAGCAAGAGCTTTGCAACCCCAGACGTTACAGCATGAACCGCAAAGCCCCAAGCAAGATCCCAAGGTGGCGAAGTACGGTGGCCATGTGCCGAACTACCGTGCGCGAGGGGAGCATCACTACCGGGTCCCTTTCAAGGACTCCTTGTTTGGGGTTGTTCATAGCGTTTTCAGGCGTCCTTGCAGGATTTGTTGTAAGGAGTGTTGAAGGGTTGGGCAGTTTCATTGTTCAATAGGGCTTCTTTTGCACTACCAGGTTTCTGGTTTTTAGGGGGTTTTCAGTTTTGCTTATTGGTTCGGAGTTTTCGACGGAGAACCCGTGAACGCACTTGTGGCAGCCGTCGTCGTGGTCATAGTCGTAGCGTCGCCTGCATCATCTCCGGTGTCTCCGTCGTCGTCGTCGTCCCTTCCCCCGCACGCCCAGGCCAAACCACCGTCTGTTCAACCCGTTCATCTTTCCCACTCAGGCCATGGTCATGTCTGTGTGCTTTCGACATAACCAAACCATGATGACGTCCGTCTGACCAGCGCATCCGCTCCCCAGGGCATCCATGCTACACCATCAAACCCGAAACAACATGTACCACATGTAGCCCCAACCCCACAAATACCGAAGCCTTGCACGCAAATCGCATTCAGGCGAAAACACCGTGAACATCTGAGTTCAAGAGCAAACTCTTCTCGGTTCTGAAGGCAGTCTGAAGGCACTCTGCTTCTCAGAATAGTGCAACGGTCGCGAGCCTTCAGGCACACACAAGAAAAGCACCGTACATGCCGATGAAGCCGGTCATTACAAATCAACGAAAACGAACAAGCGCACGCGACACCCAGCAACCCGTACGGTTTTCGGTATGATGACCAAGGGCCGCACATAAATGTCGATGTAAACGACGAAACCCCAAACCCAAAACGCCCCGAAATGTTCACCCCTACAAGCCTTAAAGAAACAGTTTAGGAATTCGGGTCTAGGTTCGGGGTAAGGCTTTAGGGTTCCGGGATTTAGGGTTTAGGGGTGAGGGTTTGGGGTTCAGGGTTTAGGGTTTAGGGTTTAGGGTTTAGGATTTAGGGTTTAGGGGTTAGGGTTTGGGGTTTAGGGGATCCACAGGAGAAAGTGGGCCTGAAAAACTCCTGAACCCTAAACTTTGGCCGAACCCTATAAGCTTTGGCCCTAAACCCTAAACTCCTGAACCCTAAACTTTGGCCCTAAACCCTGAACCCTAAACTTTGGCCCTAAACCCTAAACTCCTG